GAGTTACACAGGCGTCGGGAAGTGGCGCGCGTGGAGGCGTGCAGGTGGACACTCGTAAGTTTGGAAGAGGAAGACGGGGCGGCAGGTCTCTTCGCCACCTTCTTCTCTTTTTTTCAACAGCTCGACGGGAGATCCCTTCCTGTCGCCCTCCCCAAGCCACTTGTGCCTCACTGGGCGGCGTTTAGCCATCCCTTGACCTGATCTGAGATTGCGAACTCTCTCTGCTCACTCTTGGTGGAGCCAGTTTGTGCAGGCTTTTCCTGTTATGGAAAGCTGTGGTCTATGTCCTTCTGAGGGTGGGGTGGGGTGGGGGGTGGAGGAGATGAGAGGAAAGTAGCGATGCTCCTCTCTTTCCCGGTCATTTTTTAAAATTAAAATGTAAAGATTTGTCCCAGAAAACTTTTTTGTTTATTCCATTGAAGGTTCATGTCTTATTCTGCGCTTGGGTTGTTTTTATCCAAATACTCTTTTTTCCTCCCTTGATAAATTGTAACCGTTTACAGCAGAGCACTGTGCTAGCTTTGTCCTTCAAAAAGAAGACCAGATTCATCTAGACCTTTAAGGCTGCCTGCAGTTTCTTCATACGTTCCAGGAAATGGTCTACAATCCACCATGTCTGGTCCTATCTTTAAGGTTAAGGGTTTTGAGTGCTGGTCTGTCTTGTACAAATATGATTTCTTCCAGATTTGCCTGGCAAACCAACAGCTGCTTACATTTCCCTTGCCATGGTGAATTTAACATTTATCTGTTTGCTGTTACTACAGTCTTGTGGAGAAGTTTTATTTTGCTCTGAGTTTTTTTCCTCTGAAAGTACAAGCAGGCTGTACTCCTACTAGCTATACTTGGAGAGCACAAATTCTCCAAGGAGGCTAGCTTATTATTAGAGTTCTTGGCCATTGTTAGAGGCATTGTTTCACCCTTAGTTGTAAAATCATATCCCTCCAGCCACCTGCCTTTATATTTTTCTGTGCAACAGTGAAACTCCTGCTGCTTCAATGGTACCGTGTTTCTTTTATCAAGAAGACATTTTTAACACTTTGCATTAATTAATAAAATAACCTTGTGGCTCCCTCTTTTTTGGCATTGTGAAAACAGATTAAAATCCCCACTGTTTCCTTGTTCTGTTCAGTTATTCTTTATCACAACCACAATGGCATAATTCTTAAGAACAGCATATGAAGGGTTTTCTTCAGTGGTTTTAAGCTTTTCCCCCCTGTTTCCTAAGCTAAAATCCTGGGCAAACATACTTGAGTGTATACCCCATTGAACACAGCAGGACTTGCTTGCAAGTAGATGTTGATTGAATTATAGTGTGTAACTCTTCTGTTAAAGGGTAAAGATTTTCAGTGTCCGATTGCTTTGTGCTAAGTTACTGATTCTTGTTTGCTGAGTCGAGGGGCTAGGATGCTGTAGTGAGCTGGAGGGCTTTTGCAGGCACATCTAGAGATTGTAAACAGTTTGTTAAAAAGACTAAGGAAGCTTGGCATAGCTACAATTTTTGCCAAATTTTACCCAAACTCATGTTGCAATAAATTGTTTGATTCTCAATGGGCCACAGGCAGTATTGTCTTTGCTGCAACAGACTAATGCAGATACCCCTCTGAAAATTGTTCAGAAACTTTAGGAAATAGTTCTACATTGGCTTGTCATAGCTTTAAATAATGACAGGTGTAAATGTAGATTATTAAAACAGATTAAACCTGTAAGCATTATGTGTAGAGTGATCTGAACCTACCCACTCTCATTTTTCTTAGTTGTGTGTGTGTTTCTGTTGTTGTTGTTGTTCTTGAACTATGTGGCAGAGGTCTTTCAGTTAGAAAAACGAACATGGTGGAAAAAAGTTCCAGCCTAAATCTGGTGTGGCACTAGTACTGCACCACCAGTTTTTCCTTTCTCCTTCCCCTCCCTGATAGCTAGCAGGGGTCAACACTAGTTTCATAGGGTTTTCAGCCCTTGGGAGCAGGCTTTTAGGGTGCATGACAGGGATGCAGTGGAAGGGGGAATTGGCTACTACTTCTGCTGGGTTTTACTCTTTCACCCAGAATCCTGCACTGAATTGTGCTCTGTCATTTCTGTGTGTTGCCTTCCAGCAAATGGCTTAATTATAAGATAATTTGTTCAAAATGTAAGACTGCAATTAATGTGTATACTTTATATGTACCTAAAATGTTTCAAGTTACGTAAATGTATGTGTTGCCAGAACACACTGCTTGATGCCATTTGTGATATTTTGACTTTGTTAAAATAATTTTTAAGTTGCACCTTCCTAAGCTCTGAAGTGTTTTTGCTTATGAAGAAGTAAATGCCATTAAATTCAGTGACGATTACTCCTTAGCAAAAGCAACAAAGTCTTGTGTATCCTTAAATATTTTGTGACACAACTATAGTACAATATAAGCTTTCATCAACTAGCATTTACTGCAGCAGAATAATACAGCTGGAATCCGGAAATTCCCTAGTACCTGAGGGGATTGCAGCTTGTTTGATTCATGGAATGTGGGAATAATTTCGGACTGGGTATATATAACCCTTAGCCATTGTGATGTAGCTGTTATCAGGTACTGGTGTGTCAAACTAAGGCTTAGGTGATTTGGGTTCAAATTGATGATTGACCATGGAAATTCATGGGTGCATGTATGCCTCTAGTAAAATTATTGCATAAATTTCATACCTCAAAACCCTACTAAGGTCACCCTAAGTTGGAAGCACCTTAATGGCATATAACAATGTATGTAGCCATTACACCTTAAGCCATTACACCATTGCCAAAGGTTTTTTTTTTTTTTTTGGTTGTTGTGGATTTTTCTGGCTCTTTGGCCATGTTCTGAAGGTTGTTCTTTCTAATGTTTCTCCAGTCCCAATGGCCGCCACCTTCAGAGGACAGGAGTCAGAACTCTGTCTGTGCTCTGTTGCAGTTGTTGGATGCAACAGAGCACAATCAGAGTTCTGGCTCCTGCCCTCTGAAGATGCCGGCCACAGGGACTGGCGAAATTTTAAGAAGAACAACCTTCAGAACACGGCCAAAGAGCCCGAAAAACCCACAACAACCATTAGATCCCGGCTGTGGAAGCCTTCGAGAATACATTAAAATGGGTTTTTGTTTTTATATGCTCAATTCTCTCAGTTTTCTTTTTTTTAAATTGTTGTAATATACACCTTTGTTATTTCCTGGCCATTGGCCAGAGTAGTGACTCCACTAAATGGGTGTGGCACAAGTTTAAACAAATAGAGAGAGAGAGAGAGAGAGAGAGAATAATTCTAAACAGTTAAATATATGGTATGGAGGAAAACTTTCATATAAATAGCAAATAACTAAATTCTTTGTAGAATTCATAATAGTTTATTTAGGAGTATTTAGAGAGCACAAGTGCCTTGATTGGAAGACTTGTTTATATAGATATTGCACATGCAGACCTATTATACCCAGTAGAATGGGTGGGGTCTACTGAACTGATCAACTACTCATATTGCATTTTGTTTGATTTAATACGCTGAAATAAGATTACTAATATGTTGGATTTTATTTTTCCTTTTTAGATATAAAATTGTACAGCTAGACAATCCAGAGCTTCCACTATGTCGTCCAGGCCTTTTGAAAGTCCTCCGCCTTATCGACCTGATGAATTGTAAATACCTATTTTGCTAATCTACTTTCAGATAAGTAGTGCACACTGTTAAAGATATGAATCCTGGCAACTCGTAACATGAGTTGTGTAAACTGTAGGTACTGCTGCTGTTATGCTAGATATGCAGGATGAATTTGATTTAATAAAATTAAATTAGAAATTGGATTTTTTTGATCACTTAAATTTTTTAAATGTTTTTTTAAATTTAAATTGTGATTTAAGTAATAATTTAAATCAATTTAAGTTAAAAAATCATTGATTTTTACACACCCTGAAAACAGGGTGCATATTGAAATTATATAAAGACTGTGAATATGAATCATAAAATGGGGATGTGGATTCAAGGGCATGATTGGGTAGTTTAGGGCTGAGAACCTTGTAACCTTCCAAACAATGTTGGGTCACTACTCCCATCATAACCAGTCATTGGCTATGCTGCCAGGGGTTGATAGAATTTGGAGTCTAGCAACTCTGGAATGTCACAGATTTTGTCTCTCAGCAGTACTCTAGCTGCCTCTTCTGTTAGTTGTAGCGCTATGAGTAGGAAGGAAGGAAGGAAGGAATGCTGGTTTTGTTTAGCAAAGAGGTTTATACAGTAGATCAGCATTTCCCAGCAAACTCAAGTCTTTTGGTGGTTGGATTTTAACATTGCTAGCCAATCCGAGATCACAAAGTCTCAGGACAGGTTATAGAGCTGTATAAGACAATTTAAAAACATAAATTAAATTTAAAACTGTTTAGAACACATAAAATTAAAATATTCAAGCCTTTGTATTAAGATTTACCTAAGCCAGGATTCTCGGCTCCTAAAGGCTCCAGTAAAGTATCAACAGTGATGAGCAATGGAAATGGATGACTTCTTTGAAAAGGATATGTTAAGTACATGATCTCCCCACTTCCTTATCTATATCAAATTGCCCTATAGCAACTCCTCTGTGTAAGATATAGCTTACAATTTGTTAAAAGTCCACTGGATTGATAACATATTTATTGGTGTGTGCAAATCTGTTGAGAAGTGACCGTTAAAACAGGAACAACTCTCAGTCTGATTTCCACTTACTAGGCTTGGAAACACAGTGTTGTCACTGTTGCTTAATGTAATGACAGATTTGTAATCGCCACTGTCCAGATGCATTACATTATGGCCAGTGAAGAGAAAAGCCAAGATGTTACCCTGTAGTACCTGCTGTTTTCATGGTTAAAAATAAATGTTTTCTAGAAAGGAAGAAGTGGTACTTACTGAGTAACCAAACACTATGTCACGATGTGTAAAAAGTGTGCCCTGGTTCCTGAGTTAATTGGCTGAGTTCATGGACCTGAGACACATGCAAAACACAGTTGCCCAGTAACTGGAATAGCTGCTAAAAGTATTTAACAAAGGTGCTCGATACCATCCTCAGTGGACAGTGCTGGCAGTGGTGGTGCCTATTGTGCCGACTATATGTAATCCAAGAGTGGGTAAAGTGCAGCCTACCAAATACATTTTTAAAGATTCCTCTAACCCCTACTCCATGACCTTCAGAAATGAAAAATAAATTTTAAAGAAGGGTGGGTTTTTCTGGTCCTGGGGACATCTCAGAGCAGTGTGTGTATGTGGGGGTGTGCGCTTTATTTTATTTTATTTTATTTTTTGCAGAAGGGGGATTGCAAGCTCCTTGAGCCCAGAAACACCTCCCAACCAAACAATCAAAACTCGAAGTTGACATCTTGGCTCTGCCTATTTTTGTTCAATCTTCAGTTTTGGAATCTGAGAACTGCAGAGCTAGAAGGGACCCTATGGATCATCCAATCCAGCCCCTGTCAAAGAGAGGCACAGTGGGGAATCAAACTCCCAACCTCTGGCTCCATAGCCAGCTATCTAAACCACTGAGCTATCCTGCAGTTTTTTTTGTTGGATGGTGTTTTTGTTTTTGTCTCTCTCTCTCTTTTTTTTTTTTTTTTGCTATTTCTGGTATATCCCTTGAGTAGAAGATCTGAGAGTGAAAGTATAGCTCCCAGCCTATCAAAGTTGCTCAACCCTGCCCTAATCCCTCAGCACGTATCTCTGTTGCCTATTAAAGAAGTGAGCAAAAGAGATAATCTCTAACAAGAGTTCTTTCTGTGCCACAAAACTGATTATATATATATTGAGTGGAAATGGTAAGGAAATAAGTCTATACAGTCCATAAGCCTGTATACTTCAGATGTGGCAGGATATGTGTGTATGTACGAATGCAGCTTACAAAGTATATTCCGTCAGTGTTAAGACAGCCAATGTAGCATTTTGACAATTTTTTTTTTGTCAGAGGTTAATAGTTTTTAACTGGCAATGTTTTGTGTTTGTTTGGTTGTTTCTCTTCGTAGCAAGCCTTCCCATTATGCTCCAAGCAATAATATATATGGCGGCGATTTCCATTCTCAGCCCATGTTCTCTCAGCCTGCATATTCCTACTATCCGGAAGACGAAATTCAACACTTCTACAGATGGTCGTCTCCTCCGGGAATAATCAAAATCATGTCCATTCTCATAATAGTGATGTGCATAGGCATCTTCGCTTGTGTTGCTTCTACATTGCCTTGGGATATGGACTTCTACGGAGGCATGGGAACTGGTTTGGGGTACTCGAACTATGGAGGTACAGGCTTTGGAGGTACAGGCTTTGGAGGTGCAGGCTTCGGAGGCAATTATGGTTATGGCGGCACTGGCTATGGAAGTTATGGTGGATATGGCATTGGAGGGAATTACATTGATCCACGTGCAGCAAAAGGCTTCATCCTTGCAATGTCTGCTTTTTGCTTTATTGCTGCATTAGTGGTTTTTGTAACGAGCGTTACCAAGGCTAACATGTCCAGGACAAGGAAGTATTATCTCCTTGTGATAATAGGAAGTGCCATCTTGCTGTTCTTGGTCTTCATTGCAACCATTGTATACATACTGGCAGTCAACCCAACAGCCCAAGCTTCTGGATCAGTGTTCTACAATCAGATTTATATGCTGTGCAGCCAGTTCTATGCACCTACAAACACTGGGATCTTTGTGAACCAATACTTGTACCATTACTGTGTTGTGGAACCTCAGGAGGTATGTAAATGTAAAATCCATCATTCCAAATACGAAACACAACTTGTATTCAACCTCTGAGTCTAAGGCACTGTTAAATCCTGCATCTAGAATCAATTAATTTGTTGATTGCTTTGTGCCAGTGCCTCATTTTCACCAGTCAGTGGATATTTGGTCATTGTTACAACAATTATCACTGCTCTCCCCCTTTCCCATAGTAAAGTGAGGATCTCGGACATGCCACAAAACAAATAAGAAATAAATTGCTCTTACTGTTGTTCCCAAACAAATAGATCCATAAGCGGTGCTCAAGAGATTGAGATGGGAGTTCAAACTCAAAGCAATTTAGACTCTGGAGTCCCTCACCCAGTTTCCAACATGATGGACTGACTGTGAATCTGTTTAAAGGAGTCAGATCACACTTGTAAATCCTCAGTCCAAAACTGACACCCCTCCTCCCTTAGGGATCTACCTGAGCTATTGACATATGTGCTAGGTGACAAATGAAGTCAAGAAAATCTATCAATCCTTTTAGCTGTTCTTTTTGCCTGTGTTAGTCTAGTTAAGTAACCTGTGTTATCTGTCCTGGGCAATTATGTGGATAGTAGTAGCTCTAAGTACATTAAAGGGTTTAGGAAAAGCTTCAGTTCCACCATGTGTAAAAACAAAAAAAGTGAAGTGCATTGGTTAACCTCTTAAGACTATTGCAAAGATCAAGGAGAAGGGATTTATAAAATCCTCTGGAAAAAAAAACATAAAGATGTTAAATGTCTACAATAGTATTTCAGTGATTATAAGAATGCAAGTATGTTCTTGCCCAAGGGAATTTTGGGTCAAGCATGAAAAATTATGCTTAAATTAGATTTCTTTTCAAAGCTTGATGCTAAACATGCTTATTTATAAATTTCATCCCATTCAATGAGATTTGCTCTGTAAAATGCTTAATATTGGGACCTCAGTTGCTTTTCACTTGAATGCACAAATCATCAGAGAGGTAGACCTTTGAGACCTTTCATATTGACCTTCTGTCAATATGAAATAAATTGTTCTTTCTATGTACTCTTCTGTCTTTCCTTTAATGTATAAGGATGGGTTGAAGAGAGGTGTCAGAAAATGGGTTCCAAACATGACAAAAGCAGACTCAAACTAGTAAAAATGTAGTTGAGACAAACTACAACTTTCCTTTTGATGGTTCTTTTTCTATCAGAGTTGACACTTTGAAATGTATTCCTGCAAACACAAATGTATGTATGTATGTGTGTGTTTGCATATATACATGCATATGTGCACTGTACAGTGGTGCCTCGACTTACAGACGTCCCTACTTTACGAAAATTTCAAGTTACGGAAAGCTCTAGACATAAAATTTAGGTTCGACTTGTGGCCGGAGCTTCCACTTACGAAAGGAAAAAGGCAGGGGAAAAGGGCGGGAAATTCAAACCATTGGTGGCGAAGAGGCTGCTTCTTCGCCCCAACGGTTAGGAAAAGGGAGGCTCAGCCTCTCGGGCTTCCCTGCCACTGATACCGCGGAAGCAGCGGTGACCCAGTGCCGGGAGGCTTGAGCCTGGCCGGGGTGCTTTGGCCGCTCGCCCCCGGCCACGGCCAGCTCACGCTCCCAGCGGTGGCGGTCACAGCAGCAGTGGAAGCCTGGGAGGCTTCGGAGGCTTCGGACGGATAAGGTGCTCCTTTTTAAAAAAAGTTGTTCTGGGTGGGTTTTGGAGGGTAGGTTTGGGTTGGGGGGGTTATGCTTCTGTGGTTTTTTTCAGTCCCAGCATAGGACTTGCTCCAATGTTTATTTTTGGGTTTGTTTTTATTTTTTGCAATCCCAGCATGGGACTTGCTCTGTTTATGATGAGATGATGATGATGATGATGTATTTTTTCTTCAGCCGGAACAGATTAATCGGATTTCAATGCATTCCTATGGGAAATGGTGCTTAGACTTCTGAAAATTTTGACCTAGGGCCACCGTTCCAATATGGATTAATTCCATAAGTCGAGGCACTACTGTATATAAATAAAAAGTGCATTCAGACACAAATTATGGGTTTTACAGTACCAGCAAAATGTGTGAAAACAAAGATACCTCTCAGATAAAATCACTGTAGGATAAACTATTTTTAAAGTACCTGCTTAATCACATAATTAATCCTTTGTTAATTGAGGAGTAACTGAACAACTTTTATAATGAGGAAAACACCTCTGTGTCACACTTTAAGAGTATTCTATTTACTTTATTAAACCTTGTATTCCTGAAAATGGGATTTTGTCTCTTTAAAAGATTATGGTGGGCTAGGAGTGACAAAGTCTACCTACATTGAAATACTGATGGGATTTGTTTACACTAGATGCTTAAAGGGTGTTAAAGATTGATTCTTAATACTGCAATTGCTCTGTGATGGATTGCATTGTTTTCTTCTGTGTTTATTTGTCAAGAACAGTTAGAACAAAGGTGTACAAATGGTGGCCGTATGTCCCCCCCCCCCCCCCCGTATCGCTGTGCCCCCTTGGAATCCCTGATTCTTTTACTTTAAAAGGCCTCTTGTGCCCTCAGAGGGGCACGGGGACATTTTCACTACATATCCTCAACTTTTCTGTCTTTGGGAAGGGGGCTCCCCCCCAAGACAGTAGAGATGATTTGGGTATTGGGGGAAGGGGTGTAGCTCTCTGAGGCCCAGGAGATGTATGGACCACCCTTTTAACTCAGAGTTACCCACCCTGAGTTAAAAAAAACTGTGGCTGGAAGAGGAAGTTGGCCAAAATCACTGGGCTGAAATAAAGTTTGAATGGCTGGTTTGCACTATTTGCTTGTAACTTCTGTTTCAAACCTTTTGCTGGTAGATTTAGAAATAAAACATCTATTTTTCTATTCCTTAGGCTATTGCCATTGTATTAGGCTTCTTGATGGTTGCAGCTCTTATCATCATAATAATCTTTGCAGTAAAGACCAGAAGTAAAATTAATTACTACGGTAAAACAAATATCCTGTGGGATCAAACAAAAGACTTAGAAGAAGCTCCCAACGTAGAGGAATGGGTAAGTTCCACTATTTTTCAAGTTACTATGATGCAGTCGTTTATTCTGACTGCAGCCCTGGTCTGCCATCATGTTTTGTAATGATATGTGGGGCATGGCATTAAGCCAGCACCTAAGCAGCGATTGTTGAAACAGCATGTTTTAAGGTTAATTCTTGATAAGAAGGCACAGCTCAGGTACACATACTTCTGCCTGGATTGTCCTATATTTGTGGTCACTGAGCTTTCTCAGTTGTGTGGTAATGTCTTAAACTGCAGTTTGTTGTTATGGTGAGCAAGCTTGAGGTACACTCAGATTAGAGAAAAAATTTTGAGGCCATATACAGGGTGGTTAAATGAATTGGTTCTTTGTACTGTAGTTTACTAGGTCCAAATACTTTTTTTGACAATTTTAGGGCTTTATATACCAATCTATTGTTAACTACGAGCACAGCTTGGAAAAGTTATTTTCTTTGAGTACAACTCTCAAAATTGGAGGTGTTATAGTCTGAAAATGTATTTTTCCTGAGTTGTGAGATATTAGTAATACCACATCTGAGATAAGGTACAGATGCTATAAATGTGAAGACCAGTATTTATGTTATCTACCATCCATTTTCTTTTAAGCAGCCCCCCTTCTTAAGTTGGCAGTCATTTATTAGAGGATTGGAAACTAGACTTAGAACTCTAGCTTGTGCATCATTATCTCTGTGTGCACAGTATTTGCTGTGTACTTTGGTATTTTATGAGTTGCATGCAAGAGTGGCTTTTTTTGACCTTTATCCGGAGAGTGAGTGTAAAGAGACTGACTACTTCAATACAGTACTTTTAACGTTATGAGGTAAATGTTTCGGTGAGACAGTTTCGGGGCGTGTACTTTGCTAGCTAATGAACTTGTTTACTCATGTTTCACTGTGATAGAGGGGGAGAGAAAAAAACCAGATAGCAAATCCTACTGAGTAACTGTACCTATGATTTTTTAATTGTAAATAAATAATCCCAAAAAGAGTACCATAGCTAACTTCTAGCATTTGAGCTGAAAGTGTAGACATTGATTTAATATTTGAAAAAAAATATCTTATATTAATGCTAGGAGAGTTCTTTCATTATGTGCACATGTTTATTATATTTCAGGTCAGTCTTTCCCAAACTGATGCCTTGCAGATGAGCTGGAATACAACTCCCATGACCCAGTCACGTAGATAGCTATAGGGGATAATGTTGATGGGAGTTGTAATCTGGCAGGAACAAAGTTGCTGAAATCTGTCAGGGTATTTTTCAGATGTACCTAGTGAACAGACAAATGGCCTATATTGAGCTTTTGGAATTGTAGCTGTGTTAGTCTTTGCAAGCATTTCAACAAGAAAAATAAAACAAAACAACAAAAGCAAAAAAAAAATACATTGATGCACTTTAAAGACTACCTGTTATATTTTAATATAACCTTTTGTGGAACATTGCCTACTTTGTCAGACACTGTAAATTGTATGTCTGAAGAAGTGGACAATGTTCCATGAAAGCTTACTTTAAAATGTAGCAGTCTTTAAAGTGCCACAAACTCACTTTTTTGCTTTTGTTCTATTTAGAATTGCCCAGATACTTGCCTGAACAGTAATGGAATCCTTTATAGTGTGGCTGTCAAGTCCATCTGCCTGTTAAAATTGTGGTGGGCAACCAGATCCAGCAGAAGTCAACTGGACTCGATTTATGTTGCTTGCCGCTGGTTTTCGGAATCGGGCACAACCACTGAGAATAAACACACACTTACCTAATAATCATTACATGAAATGGCTTCTCAGTTGCTATGTTTATCTCTGGATCTTTCATGGAAAGGGGGCATAAAAGGCCCCAAGGTGTGGACATAAAGGCAGGAGTCTGTGAAGGATGAAAAGTAGTGTATGCATCCAACATAATGGCTGATTTTAAATTTAAAAGACAAAGTTCAACTCTTTACAGTACAGTAATATGCTTGATCATATGCTTTGGGAACTGTTGCTATATCAGTGCATGAATGAATCACTGTCAGTTCTGTTGACTTCCATTATGATTCATCATGCTATCATTATATGTGGCTAGGAGTACTGTATTACTGTAGTTGTGTTCTTTCCTAGAGAATAGACTACAGAATTACTGCTCCAGTTCCTTGACATCTGGCTTGTGGTTTCTCTCAAGGTTCCGTATTCAACATTATTCAACGTTTTATGAAAATACAGGGGATAATCATCTGGAGAATTGCAGTGTAATCCACTAGTATCCCAGGTTAAAGAGGTTCTGAAGTGTTATCTGAAAATGGATTTAAAGTACAGTGGTGCCTCGCAAGACAATGTTAATTCATTCTGCGAAAATCACTGTTAAGCGAAAACATCGTCTTGCGAAACACGTTTTCCCATTGAAATGCATTGAAAACCTGAAAATCCGTTCCAATGGGAACGGATTGTCATCGTAAAGCGAAAATTGCCATAGGAAACATTGTTAAGTGAAATGCGGTTCCCAAGCAACGACAGCCATCTAACGAAACAGAGACCATTAAAAGACTCGTATAGCGAAGCAAGACCAAGCTGTCAAAAACATCGTGAAGTAAAAAACAGGGACCTAAAATTTAACCGTCTTGAGAGGCAAGGTCCCTAACACCGTAAAGCGAAAATCGCCCATAGGAAACATTGTTAAACGAAGCGTAAGATGGCTCTGAAAACCTCATCGTAAAGTGAATCCGTCGTTATGCAAAGCAGTCATCTTGTGAGGCACCACTGTAGGTTAAAAGAATAAGGCACCCTATGGTGCTACAAAAACTGTTGCATTTATGACATTAAAAGCTTTCATGGACCATAGCCCGCTTCAGCTGATGAATGAAGAATGACCAAACCAGACAAGACAGAATCACTGCTGTTTAGGAAGGCTGTTAATCCAGAAGTAGGAGCTCAACCTGTTTGGAGTGAGTTTGTACTCTGCTTGAAAAAATTAGATTCATATTTTAGGAGTCCTCTGAATTCTCAGATGACAAAAGTGGCCAAAAGTGCCTTTTATCAGTTCAGACTGAAACACTAATTCTGCACATTTTCTGAGAGCTTAGACATAATGTATTAAGAACATTTGTTGATGCCTTCAAACAGCACAATTTCACACTTAGCTTTTAATTTAATTAAATTAATCATCTCCATTCTCATTACTTCAGTAAGTTGAAACCAAATTAGGCCCATTTGAATTAATGGAATTTAAAGAGATTGATTTACCTAATCCTGATAATTCAAATTGGTCAAACAGCCCTCACACAATTGCTCTGTGTTTGGGTGAGAAATGGTTAACTGATGAAAAAGGGATCAGATTCTGGGATTTTCCCTTGCTTGGTGTCACTTTAAGAATGTTAGTGAGCACAAGAGGGTATCCTGTAGACCCTCTTGACTGTTGCCATTGGTGTTGTCAACATTCAGGTTGCCCTTTGCTAGGTAAAACTTGGCATTGTTTTTCCTTCTGGTAGTGCAGGCACAATATTGTGCAGTAATGTCGGGTCGTTTCCTGGTGTTTTGAATTGTGGATAAAGAAGTACACTATCTCACACCCATAAACAGTTGTGGTTTTTTTTTAAATAGAAGAATTTAATTATACATTTGACGTACAATGAGAAGACAAGTTGGAAGATACAATGCTAGGGAAAGTAGAAGGCAGCAGAAAAAAATGGAGATGAATTAACTTGATAAAGGAAGCCACACACTTCAGTTAGAAAGACCTGAGCAGAGCTATTAATGAAGGACGTTTTGGAGGTCATTAATCCATATGTTTGACATATATTAGAAGCAACATGATGGCAGATGACAGCAAAATTCCACCTTTTCATCAGCTTCACTGGGTATTAGTTCGCCAGGCAAATTAAAGTGCTAGTTACCAACTTCAAGTACAGTGATGCCTCTCATAGCGATCGCTCCATTTAGCGATGAAATCGCTTTGCAATGCATTTTTTGCGATTGCAAAAGCGATCGCTTTGCGATGTTCCCTATGGGGGAATTTTGCTTTGCAATGATCGGTTTCCTGCTTGGGGAACCGATCATCGCAAAGCGACCATTTTCGCACAGCTGATCGGCGGTTTCAAAATGGCCACCGGGTAAACAAAATGGCCACCTGCTGTTTTTCCTTGCTTAAGAGGCACCAGAAATGGCCACGCTATGGAGGATCTTTGTTCAACTGTGAGTTTCCAGCCCATAGGAATGCATTGAAGGGGTTTCAATGCGTTTCTATGGGTTTTTTAATATTGCATAGCGACGTTTTCGTTCTGCAGTGATTTTTGTGGAACGAATTAACGTCGCAATGCGAGGCACCACTGTAATCTGGTCAAAAGTCACTTAGTGCTTTAGTATTCTGTCTCCTTTTTCAAGATCAGTGCGACAGACCCTCTTTTTCCTGAGTACAGCTAGGAAGGACTTGTTGCAAGATATCATTAATTGTGGTGCCCAGAATGTTGAATTTCCTGTACTCGGTGGCCATTCATTTAATTGGAGTGGGGGGAGACTCCAGCCCATGGACTTTAACTGGCATATCATTCATATTCTGTACTTGCTATCGGGATCTTCGTATGGAGCTTTTAACACCTATTATCTGTAAATCTCCAAGGAAATCAGAGGAGGATTATGTCCAGTTGATACTCTCTGACAAGTACCCCTTATATTACGATACAAGTGGTATATTACGATACAAGTGGCCAAATTCTGTGCTGGAGCAATGGTTATTCATAATCACATGTTCGGTCAGGTGATTTTAGATGGATAATATAATGCTTTTAATATAACACTGGCTGAGGTTTTACTTATGTTACGGATAAATGATGTTATTAACTGGAAAGAAGGGGTTGTTTTATCATGTTTTAATGGAATTTTATTACCCTGACTGACTTTACAAAACCATAATTATATCTGTCTATTTTATATTGAGTTGATTTTACTGGTCTTTGACCGTAATAAAGTATTCATTCATTCATTCATATCAAGGGTTTAGGCCTTCTGACAGACTTTCCTGGGCATGCTTCTCCTATATGTTATAGAGAGACCAGGTGGGATGGAAGAGAAAACCTGTTACCTCTAGTAATAGATCAGAAATAATCACAGTGGGTTTACCAGTGTGCTGCTCTTCTCTTTAGCAGGAAAAAACCCAGTTGTTCTGTACAGTTGTTCTGAACTAGCATATAAAGGTTTTGTCTTTGCCCTGACCTTGGAGAACCTGCACTGGCTGAAGTATGGATTGAGGGTTTGCTTTCTCTTCCCTCTTCCTTGTGTAGGGAATGGGGAGGGGGAGTGATGCCTGGTTCCTAACCAAAGCACCAGCTGAGAAAGCTTCACCCAGAGGTTTGCCTGCAAAAGATGATAGTAGGGAGTATGGTTGCCATGCCTCCTGATGACCTCTAATCTATAGAGGGCTCCAGGGGTGCAATCCGTCTGGCTTAATCCCTAGTCACCTTGCTTGCACACACAGAGAGAGGGGGGGAAGGCAAAGTTATTCAAGGTGGAATGTGAGACCTCCTCCCTCGACATCTCCTTGCTGGCTGCTTCTGTTCTCTGGAAGACAATCCATGCTATGGCTGTGAAGAGTTGTAAGCAAATGCCTTATCAACTGCAAAGCTTCTGGAAAACCTCACCATAAAGATTAATGCATAATAGTATGGCATAGAATAAACAGTGGAAAAATTCCAAATATTTTTAAAAACCCTTGCCCCTTTTTTTCCTTCGGAAAATACTCCCACAAATAAGCATGTAAAGCCTGAAAAACCAGTTACATTGGGGCACACACACAAACCTCTCTCACTAAAGGAAATCCTAAAGCAAAAATAAACAGCTATGAAGTTGAGTGCTGAGATCACAAACCTGACAATTAAATGCAGTGTGAGAGTAAAGCCATCTTTTGTGGATATGGTTACACTAACTTTTTAGTGACACAAATATGCCACTTTGCCAAAGTCTTCTGCAGTTGTGACTATTGTAGTTTCTAAGTGGCAGCTTACTAAGTCATTTTGACATGAAAGTTACTGCCACCAGCAGAAGGCTTTGCCCCATTCATATATTGGAGCAGATTTCGGTGACAGTAAACTATTATGGAAGGATCTGTGGAGCCTATAAGCACAATTGCCTCGTTTATTTTTGTCTCCCTCTGGCCCTATCTTTGCCAGTGGTGTAAAAAAAAATTAAAAATCAATGTGTTATGTTTAACAGCAAAATAAAAAAAATTCTTTAAAACATTGTGCTTTTAGCTATTAAAACATAGTGAAAAATACTTTCTTGTGGCAGATTTGGCAGCGGGAGTACAACCTGCTGTAAATTTTGGGAGGGCAAAACTGACACACCCATTGCCTTTGTCTGCAATGAACATTTATTTCAATCTCTCTGTGGACAGAACCTTCCCTGTTCAATGCAGTGAGGATTCTACCTGTGAAGTGCTCTGCAGATGAACTGTTTTAAGGAAGGGGGAAAAAGTAGCTGTGCTGTTTTCTGACCTTAAACTTATCTTCAGTGTGACTGTTGCCTTCAGAGCACAGATACTGCCTTGGGCCAAGCATTCCTGAGCATGTGAATGGGCTACTGCCACACCTGCCTGAAAACGCTCCTGATGGGCTGTAGAACTTTGTATCCTGCTCCTTGTCCTCAGCTCCCCTGTCTAGTCTGTTGTTGTTGTTGTTTAGTCGTTCAGTCGTGTCTGTCTCTTTGTGACTCCATGGACCAGAGCACGCCAGATCCTCCTGTCTTCCACTGCCTCCCGGAGTTGGGTCAAATTCATGTTGGTAGCTTTGATGACACTGTCCATCCATCTCGTCTTCTGTCGTCCCCTTCTCCTCTTGCCCTCACACTTTCCTAACATCAAGGTCTTTCCCAGGGAGTCCTTTCTTCTCATGAGATGGCCAAAGTATTGGAGCCTGAGCTTCCGGATCTGTCCTTCCAGTGAGCACTCAGGGGATAGGTTTGTTCTCCTTGCAGTCCAGGGGACCCTCAAGAGCCTCCTCCAGCACCACAATTCAAAAGCATCAATTCTTTGGCGGTCAGCTTTCTTTATGGTCCAGCTCTCACTTCCATACATCGCTGGTGGAAAAACCATAGCTTTGACTTTGCAGACCTTTGTCGGCGAGGTGATGTCTCTGCTTTTTAAGATGTGGTCGAGGTTTGTCATTGCTTTCCTCCCAAGAAGCAGGTGTCTTTTAATTTCATGGCTGCTGTCACCATCTACAGTGATCATGGAGTCCAGGAAGGGAAAATCTGTCACTGCCTCCATCTCTTCCCCTTCTGGTTGTTGTGGGTTTTTCGGGCTCTTTGGCCGTGTTCTGAGGGTTGTTCTTCCTAATATTTCGCCAGTCTCTGTGGCTGGCATCTTCAGAGGACAGCACTCTGTGCACAGAGCACTCTGTCCACAACAACCATTAGATCCCGTCCGTGAAAGCCTTCGCGAAAGCCTTCCCCTTTTATTTGCCAGGAGATGATGGGGCCAGTGGCCATGATCTTAGGTTTTTTGATGTTGAGCTTCAGATCATTTTTTGCTCTCTCCTCTTTCACACTCATTAAGAGGTTCTTTAATTCCTCCTCTAGCCTAGTCTAGCTTCTTCTAATTCAGAGATCGCTTGATGTGGCAGACAAGCTCACCATCCTCATTTAGAATACTGGGGAGAGAGCTAGGTCATCTCTTGTGGCACGGTGGGTAAGGCGAGTGGATGATCTGGAAGCAGCCCTGATCCACTGCTTTCATTATGGGCAGCTGTTCTGCCTGCCTGTATGCAAGCCTGGGGAATCCAAGATAGTTTGCCAGAAACCCCCACAACCTGGCCTGAGAACAGTAAATCAGGTGAGAGGGGAAACATCTAGATTCTGCTCTAGGCAGCCTGGCTTGAATGAATTCAGGGGGTTTGTAAAGCTGAGCCTTCTCTGTGGAATGCATTTCCCAGGGTGGGCCTCCTGCCTCCCTTAGTGATAGCTTTTTGCTGGCAGGGAAAAATGTGGCTGTTCTTGAGAACATTTGCCACAAGGTGATTTGGCCTCAAGCTTTTTTTTGCTCATTTGTTTCATATTTTCCAACCCTTCTTCAAAATAGAGTCAGAACACCTACGCAACCTACGCTACATAGCACATAAAAACATAATTGAAATCATAATTTTAAAATCACAGATGTTTTATAAAATACCATGAAGCTTTCTACTAAAAATCAACACCTAAACAAATAAATCAGTTGCCTATATCCAAAAGCTATCCGACAATTGTCAGCTGGCTTAAATGACAATTGTGTTGTTTTGTGATGAAGAAACTTACTGGTGTCTTTGTTCTAATTTCTGTGTAATTATAGCTTTTAATTCAATGTCATCTTCTTTAACATGCTTGGGTGCTATGCCGTGTCTCCTGTTGTGCGGTGACTGGAAGCTTGCACTTGTTCCTTTCTGCTTGTAAAGCCAATAATGGACTTTCCCATTAGCAATCACTTTGATCTTGGCAGAAGGTTGAAGTTCTCATATTTATATTCTTTGTGTGTATCAAAATTTATGTATGTATGTAGTTATCTAATTTCTACTCTCCCTTTCTTCCTGTAGAGGGACTCAATGTATGCATGCAAGAATCAGTATAATGACTTACTGTGTGTGTGCAGACATTTTGTTATGTTTGAAGTCAGCCATGGAGAACTTTGGCTTATCACTTATAAGCAGTATGCTGGTGCATGTTGCCTTGACTGTGCATAGGAGCAGGTAGTCAAGGGATAAGCTCCTTTATTCTTTCAGTGTCCTGACAGGAAAAGAACCCATGGTTTATTGTTTGTTTGTTTGGAAGAGCTGAAGTGCAAGAATTTGGATGATATAATAGATAAACCAGGATCACAGAACAACCTTCCTTGACAGGGGAAAGATACAGATGAAAGACTTTCAATTGGTTTAGCTGCTCTTGCTTGTAGTGGAAACATTTGTGCAACATGCCTTAGCATAATACTTGTAGTTGTAAATGATAAACCAGGGTGACCTGGAACCCTGATTTATTGTGACATGCAAAGCCAGATATTGCATCGATACAAGTTTATCTTTTTGGTCTCAGTAGAACTCATGAGTTTTGTGATTATCTTCGAAAAGTACCCCATCTTGAATCTGTCCAAGAGATCTGAATGAAAAGATACATGCATCGGGGTAGAGGACTCACAACACTCTTTGCTGGATCAGACTAGAGGCTTATGTTTCTTACATTTACAGAGCAGAAGTCTATGAATGCAAATTTAATCACCTTTGAAAGCTTAGTTGTGGCGATCACCCTGCTTTGGCTCATGTATGATGTTATTTGCATACACCAATGGGAGCTGTTGGGAGGCGGAGCCAGAGAAACTAGAAGGGAGGGGTGAGTCAGAGTTTGGGGAGTTCAGTCAGTTAGAGATGAGAGTCTGAAGTAGAAGTTAGTCTGTGGTAGTGTGGCACAGTTAGGAGTTAAGTGTGAGAGACATGTCACAATTGGTGTCGGTGGGATACATAGTGTGAGCTCTTTATTTGGTGAAACAAGCAGGGGCCACGTGGTAAACGTCACAATTGCCATTTCTATGAGTTGGGAAAAGTTAATTTCCATTCCAAGTTAATTAACTGTTGAATTCTGGTAACTCCTATTGTCATGTGCACTTTTAAAGCAAACTAGATATAAAATACTGGCAGTTTTTTTAAAAGCTTGTAATGTCCCCTGTAGAAGATACCTTGTAGATACCCTCTTCATCTGTGGTGCAGTGTGTGTTTAGTCATTTAGTGACAACATTAATGCTTTTTTTAAATACCAAAAGGAATAAACCTTTTCTGATAACACTTTGTGATGTTGAAAAAGTCACCAGCTAAAAGCTGAAGGAGATGTTTAGCTCTGGAATGGCATTAGTGCTAAGTTTATTTAGTGCTACACATTTTATCTAATACATAAATGTCCTTCCAGGTAAAAAATGTAAATGCAGAACCAGGAGCACCAACACCAGTAGGTGACTATCCTGATCGTGTTGCCAGTGTTGTGGGTTACTCCGTTTCTGGTACTCCTCCACAGCGGATCTACAATGATAATAGTTATAGAGCTACTCCGTAAGTATGCTGTGCTTGTTTTTGTTTAAGTGGACACAGTGCAACAAGAGATGATTGGAGGCACCTGGTTAAATGATTGAGGGCAGATTGTTAATCATTTACTCCTTCCCTGATTCTAGCCCTACAGAGCCTGAATTTCTCTTTACTTACCAAACCATTCTTTCATTAGGATTGTTGCTGGCATATCTGTTGCTTGCACTGGGTCCAAGAAGGACTATTGCTTAACCTAGGAATTTTAATAAAAGCTGGTTTTGAACTTTTACTGGAGACGCCAGTTTGTCCTAACTTCATTTAAGGGTTATTATTACTGTATTAGCAGCAGTGTTAACTTTGGTTAGGCTTGAGGTGGGGTGAGAATGAGGAGATTGTAGCCCAGAAAGGATTGATTGGAGAAAGGATGCAGTGCTGCTGTGTCTGTATATGAACAGCTGGAGCAATACCTAGTATAGGGGGACAGATTTAAGCCACTCTATCATAATAAAGCTCTCAGTTCACTGTGTAAGTCATAAGTTAGTCCCGGATTTATGAGTTAGAGTTTTGATGATTAGATATGCATACTCTTGTGGTGTATTTTTAAATTACAATTTATCAACATGACTTGTCACGAAAACTATAGAAAGTTAGTGTGTTCAACTAAGCAGACCAAAAGTGTTCTAATGTGTATACTATGAAATCAAATGTAAACATCGTGCTTTTGAAATTGGGGCTGCTTCCCTTTCATATACTGTATACGGCAGTATCAAAGAATTCGAGTTTGTACAATGATAGCCAGTATTTGTATATGGATAGTGAGTCGACATATTGATAACCTAGGAAATAACTCACTCACTGCCCATTTGTGTGCATGTCTGCTAAGAGGGAAGTCACACAGAGTTTTGTGCAACTCACTCCCAGGTAAGTGTTTGTAGTATTGCAGTCTTAGTTTCTTTGAATGTATTGTTCGTTAGCTGATGCTGTTACGACAGAACCCTTCAATGGCAGTTTACATTTTTGAATGCTTTAAATGGTTTACAGGGAATTCATGGTGAAAAACAACAATGAAAATAGGAAGTGTTAAATCAATCTGAACTTGGCACTAAAATTCTTAATTTTTTAAAAAAGAATGAGATGTTGTTCATTTTCTTCCAGTTATAGGATGTATGTGAATTTTTTATAACTTTAAATGAAAGTCAGTATCACCTTAGGTGTTGGGAATGTGAGAACTATGATGATCTGAAAGTAATTTTATATTTCCTCCATATGTATTTGAGAAATCTCTCCTTGGAATGTTCCCTGGCCAGCTTGCCTTCTGGTATTTATTTTTCTAGTGTCTCATGTTGATCAGATATTTCTTACCTAACCATTAGTCATCTTCCTTGTGTCATATTAATACTTTATGGACTTGATGGTCTAGGGTCCCTTCCAGCTCTGCAGTTCTAAGGTTATTATTTAAGAGGATTTCTGCAGAGATGGATGCTTTGGAAGAATATAATCTTCTGTTGCTTGCCCGTATCCACATGATTTGATTTTTGTGTGGATGACACTGATAGTTAAACCTGCTAATTATATTTATAAATAAAAGTAATGGAACAGGTGCACTCCTTCCATAAGATCATACTCTAATAAATGGTTTGTTAGACTTGACAGCTGCATATTTTGATTGCAGAATTTTAATTCTATAGAATAATAAATAAGGTATTTGTTTCAAGCTTTATTAATGTTCCAGGACCTTGTATTGAATGAAATAAAGTAAACTTTTATGTACATTCAATTGAAAAATGACTTCTCACATTAGCAGTGATTACAGGGCATGCATTCCCTGTTAGGATATCTCTGGTTTCTCTTAGGAAAGTGCCCTCAGTCAGCTCAGAGGTCCACATTTCTGCTTGCTATGGATGTCACAATATGTGACATATGTCAGCATTATGTTATAGCTTGGGGATAAGCAGGGAAGAGGGAATTATTTTTGCACTCAATAAGTGCATTTGTGAAGGAAGAGCCATATGCATGCTTTCCAACTCAAAGTAGGGATGGTGGATAGGCAAGGTGCACCCAACCATGTTAAAAATGATCCTGAACTTACGTAAAGCTGGAGAAATACGTAAAGCTGGAGAAAATACTGTTCCTCGTTTCCCATGCAATGTAAGGGGATCCAGGCACATAGCTAAGGACAGGACCAATAAAATACAGTGAAATTACTTTTCAAGTTAGCATTGGGTTCACTGAAAGGGAAGGCAAATGTTTTTCTCAACCACACACTTAGTTTGGTTACCAAAAACATCCCAAATTTATGAACCTCAAGATTTATCTTTCTTGTCTCAGCAAATGAAAACACTTACAATTTAATGCTTTGTCTGATTTGTGGTTTTACCTGAAGCCCTGGATTGCAGGGTGCAAGGTTCAATTTACACTGTAAACAATGTTCCTTGCAATGGAATGTAGACAGATCCTGCATTAACATGAACAGGATTCTGACCATTATATTTTTGGCCACTAGAGACAGAAAGGAGTCTTTCCCCATTAAAGAAACACTTTTTGTAAACTCAGTTTTCAGTTTTTAAAAAACCAGTCTCATTGTGGCAATCTTTATAGTACATAGCCATGGCTGTAGGAAAAAGCTGAGATGTTCTAAAATTATAAATAAGCCCTTTTAACTCCCCTACCCCTTTTTGGGGTTAGGGGGTGGGAGTGCAGTTGGGCTGCCACCAAGCTGAAAAATTGCCCTTTGACCAACTGAGATTATCCACTTCTGATATATATTATGTTTTATTTGATTGCTTTATGTGTGATGCTTTATTTCTGATAACCTCAGGATGGGCCAGATATATTTTAGTGGGGAAAAAATATGTGAGCATTCTTGAGAGTTTTCCCTAGATATACACAATCCTGAAGATGCCGTAAAAGAGACAAGGGAGGGACAGTGAGGGAAATGAAGATGAAAGAGTATGCAGTTGCTTCACTTATATTTATTTAGAGTTGTTTATACGTAGTAGAATACAGGGTGTGTGCCAAAGCCAGCAATAACTATTGCTATTAAATTTGTTTATTTAGTTCATATAGCGTTTAATAATGTAGTGTGTCAGCTTCCTTAAGCTAATCTAGTATCTGTCTGGTGAAAACCAGAATGGTATCAAATGCATAGAAGCCTGACTGCCTGAGTAGCCAGCACTAGCCAGTATTTTGGTTGCTGATGAAACTAGTGTTCCAGCAGTTAAAGGGACACATGCTTTCACATCCTTGTTTGATTCATGTTCACAGCAATTCAGTGTGCTAATTTCCATTTCCTTGTAATTAGTAAGGAACCAAGGCTGAGGTGTAACATCATTTATTGTTGAAAGTTTCAGAATATTACATGCAGAGCTATTTATGCGATACAGGATATGAAAGAGTCAGAATCATGTGATCTTGCTTGCTGATGAAGATTCTAGTGAGACATCAATTCATTTTAGTCTGTAGAATTGTTAGCAAATGGTAACATCTTTCTCCAGGAGTAGGATGTGGTGCCCTTCAAAGATAAACCAAGATAACTGCCTATGTTTTACTAATTCCTTTTATATTGATACATCCTCTGGCATGAAATGGGGAACTAATGGCTCTTATATTGTATTAGGACACTTGAACCTTCTGCTGCCTTCCTTGTAATTAGTAAGGAACCAAGGCTGAGATGTAACATCGTTTATTGCTGAAAGTTTCAGAATATTACATGCAGATTTGTTCATTGGCCTCTCAGAGCTATTTATGCGATACAGGATATGAAAGAGTCAGAATCATGTGATCTTGCTTGCTGATGAAGATTCTAGTGAGACATCAATTCATTTTAGTCTGTAGAATTGTTAGCAAATGGTAACATCTTTCTCCAGGAGTAGGGTGTGGTGCCCTTGAAAGATAAACCAAGATAAGTGCCTATGTTTTACTAATTCCTTTTATACTGATACATCCTCTGGTATGAAATGGGGAACTAATGGCTCTTATATTGTATTAGGACACTTGAACCTTCTGCTGCCTTACCAAGGGAACCTGAATATACCAATAGCAGCAATTACAATGGTTCGGCTAAGGAGCAGACACAGAAAAGAAAAGGAGGGAGACCAAAGAGAAGCAATACTGACAACTATGACGGAGATTATACCACTGGAGGAGAGTCTTGTGATGAACTGGAAGAAGACTGGGACAGGTATGGATAGCTTCACAAATTTGAGAATGGTGTAGCAGTAATCAGCATCAGAGCAAAAGGCCTTCCTTCTAACTCCAGTTAATGTTGGCTAATAGGAGGAGTATGTACAGGTACGTTATGCATGGAGGGGAGGAGGGCGTTGGGGTCCAGTCTTGTACAAATACTCACTAGGGACAGGCAGCACTATGTTTGCTATTGTGGTGGGGACAAGCAGACACAGAAAAGAAAAGGAGGGAGACCAAAGAGAAGCAATACTGACAACTATGATGGAGATTATACCACTGGAGGAGAGTCCTGTGATGAACTGGAAGAGGACTGGGACAGGTATGGATAGCTTCGCAAATTTGAGAATGGTGTAGCAGTAATCGGCATCAGAGCAAAAAGCCTTCCTTCTAACTCCAGTTAATGTTGACTAATAAGAGGAGTATGTATAGGTACATACGTTATGCATGGAGGGGAGGAGGGCTTTGGGGTCCAATCTTTTACAAATACTCACTAGGGACAGGCAGCACTATGTTTGCCATTGTGGTAGGTTATAACTTAAATAACCCCTGCCCACTGGCCGTGCTAGGAAATGTCAATGTCAACACAAAGCATTTGTGTACAAGAGCAGAGCAGGAGAGTGCTGGGAGTACCAGCAAATGTCATGTGTATATTTAGAATGCAGCTCCTGAAAGCTGTTTGCAGAAACAAGTGTCTCGCCTTTAGCTGCTGCTTCATGAGCTCTCTGTTGTTGGAAGACCTAATTGTACGAATGTAGCAAAGAGTGCAGAAATGCTGCCCCTATGTTAGTAGCACATGATCCAGCAGGTCCATTGATCAGTGGTAAAACAGGTAAAATTAGTGGATGGCTTTGGTAAATATATTGCATGCTAATCACAAATCTAATAAAAAGCTATGGTTTCTTATTATATAAAAAAGTTTAAGTCATGAAGTGTATAATTACTTAAACTGGCCCTTGGCATACCCTTTGTAAGCCAGGCATCTAGCAGCCTCTGGTCATATTGCAGAAATGGTAATAAAATGCACTTCAGTTATCTTTTGCATAGGTGGAGGAGAAAGTCAGTTGCACATGTCACCCATAGCTATCACAGTTTGATTCAGCCAGCTAAGTGTGCATACATAGAGAGCTGATGGTGCTAAAAGCATAATACTGTACTGTACCTGGAAGCAGAGGTTTTGCCAAAGGAAACAATCTACCCCTGGAATGTATGTATTTATAATTTCATAGGATTATGACTCAATATCAAAGCCACAACAGTATGCAGACTTATGAATATTTTGCTGTCTGTCCAGTTAATTCTCATTCATAGATTTAAAGGGAGGGTTTCAAAATATTGTCACTGCAAAACAGAGAACCTCTGTTAGTGAAATACTTGTGTGGTCCATTTAATTAAATTAGATTATGTAAAATATTAGCAGCTGACTGGATAGCTCAGTGATTTAGGCATCTGGCTGTTGAGCCAGAGTTTGGAAGTTCAGTACTGCACCGTGGCTCCTGGGAGAAGAACAGTCATGTATAGCCTTGGGCACGATGCAGAGCCCTAGAACACCCACAGAGGAAGGGAATAGTAAACAGTTTCTGACTGTTCTGTACCTAGAACACATGAAAAAATGTAACCGTAAGTCCCAGCCAGTTTGATAACACATAATTATTACTACAACTCATTTCTGGTAATAGTGAATTCTGAGAATAAAGTGTTGCTATGTTCTGCAGAAATTGCCAGTTTGACATAACTAATCAAAATTAAATCTTCTGCACAGATCCAAAATGGTCGTTTTGTTTTTCTCTTCGATTAATATATTCATCAGTTTGTCCATTTCAGTCAGTGTTCAAAGGTATAGAATTGTATCTCTTCAGTATTTCATCATGTCTTGCTCTTAGTGTAAGACTTTTAAAGGCATTTGTGATTTCACATGGAATGCACCTATGCCTTTTAATGCTTGGATGAGAGAGGAAAACTAAAAGAATAAATCTAGTTACTAACTAACTGCAAAATCTATAGATTTAAACTTTAATTTCCCTTCAGTTGAGTAGGCCACTACCTTTATACAGAAATTGCATTTTAAACCACTTTTCATCCTCAGAGAATATCCACCTGTATCATCAGACCAGCAAAGGCAAATGTACAAGCGAGACTTTGATGCTGGGTTACAGGAATACAAGAGGTTGCAGGGAGAGCTTGATGAGATCAACAAAGAACTCTCTCATCTTGATAAAGAGTTGGATGAATATATTGAAGACAGTGAAGAATATAAGGTAATTTATTGACTTAGACATTCTGCAAATATTATGAATGTAACTTTAACACATACAAGGAAAAGGGCCACTTAGAAACTCTCACCTGAATGTGTGATCATGTTAAATGTTGGTTTCAAAAAGCTTATCTAATTCTGATTGTCACAGTTTTTTAATCCTGGCTCTTTCAGGAAATAGGCATTTTACATTCTTTAGATTAGAAGTGAATGGGTTTGCTCAAAGAGTTGGATGAATATATTGAAGACAGTGAAGAATATAAGGTAATTTATTGACTTAGACATTCTGCAAATATTATGAATGTAACTTTAACACATACAAGGAAAAGGGCCACTTAGAAACTCTCACCTGAATGTGTGATCATGTTAAATGTTGGTTTCAAAAAGCTTATCTAATTCTGATTGTCACAGTTTTTTAATCCTGGCTCTTTCAGGAAATAGGCATTTTACATTCTTTAGATTAGAAGTGAATGGCTTTGCTCAGTAACTAAAATACCACTTCAAGATTGATTTGGCACTAGAATTGTTTTACAGCATCCAATTGCTGTCCTATCACACACACAGTCTTGAGGTAGGATTCCTGTTCATTCTTTAGGCAATGATCATGTAGTTTCAGTAGCAAAGTAGGGAGAGGGTCCAAGAATCCCATCCCTACCGTCTCCATTTAAAAGATTGCCAGGCAACAAGGCAGAGCAACACTTTGCTTTGGTAAATGCTCTGAGAGAAGAGAAGAAGGTAATGGGGAAAGTGGACCAATTCTATGGGCTGGCAGAGACGGGTTAATGTTCTTGACAGTCCTGACCATTCCAGTTATGAGAAAATGTTACTGAGGATGTTGGGCTTTAGAAAAGTGTAAAATTAATTCCCACATGTTCTGAGTTGTACTTTCAAAACATGTAAATGAGCTTCCAGATGTTTTCAAAAATACAAAGGTTGCTAATAATCAGGAAGGAAGTACTATACTGTATTCAGTATGGGATTTTAATTTTTTTAAAAAAATTAAGATAAAGAGGAAAAAGAGGGAGGTGGTAATTCTTTGTCTACTGCCATTTAAAAGCAGCAGTTGAGAAAGTATGTTGTAGTTCATAATCAATGCCATATTGTTTCACTCAAGCCTCCACTTGTTTATTCCCCTTTCTCTAGTTAGTTCAAAACTAGTCCCTTTAAGAAGGGAAGTATGATACATTTTTATATAGAAGGATAAAAATACAGTTCAATCTAATAACTAACAAGCACTTCTTCATGTTACTTGAGACTTTGGGTGTGATCATATGGAGAAACAGATTAAAATTTTCCAGGGATTGCATGAGGCATGGGGAAATGTGCTCCAGGCCAGCGGTCCCCAACCGTTTCGGGGCCGTGGACTGATGGGGGGGGCAAGCTCCATGCACGGGGGGGGGTGTCACGCTCACATGGTGGGCATGTGGGGATATGGAGATCCATATCTGCAGCCCAGTTCTGGCAAGCCCACGGAGCGACACCAGGCCACGGACTGGGCGTGTCACGCTCACGTGGTGGGCATGTGGGGACATGGAGATCCATATCTGCAGCCCAGTTCTGGCAAGCCCACGGAGCGACACCAGGCCACGGACTGGGGGTTGACAATCCCTGCTCTAGGTTAACCCCAATCTGTGCCCAAGCTGGACCTTTTTGGTCCAGCTGTATGGTTTTTACTTTTGGGGGCAGGGCTGGAGCAATTCCCTTCAGACAGAAGGATCACTTTAAAGGAAATTATTCCTGTTAAAGCAATGTTTTGCAGCCATCGGATTGCAACCTCAGATAATTACATAGTTTCAGAGCAAGTGGGGAGGCTGGTCATACATCAGCTGTTAATCTCTAGATCCTATTGTCCCTGACCACTGACCATGCTGACTGGGGCTGATGATACAAGAAGTCTTACAATGTCTGGAGAGTCGCAACCTGCCTGCTTTGGAGGAAGTTCAGTCCTCAAAGGAATGCTTTAATCTAGTTCAGGCTACAAATAATCCAAATGTTGGTAATTAGCAACATGGAAGGTATTTGATGATGTTGTTGATTATGTCTGTTGAGGAAATTCCATGTGCTTGCCTTCAGGGTTTGCTACTTTGTCTTTCTGGATAATCTACAATTAAGTCATTGGGTAACCCATTACAACCTTACCTGCTTTGGGTTGAGCTTTCCAATGTAACATAGACACTGATGGAGGAAGATCTTTTTCCTTCCTTGTTCAAATCTTTGTCCTTTGATTAAATGTAGACACTTTGCCTCTTATGGTCAAGCAAATGAGATTTCCACAGTTGTCTTCCCTAGCTCAGGTGCCTCACTGTCTTCAGCTGTTTGTTTTACTTTAATCTAATCACTATTTTCCCCCTTGTTTTGTTTGCCCTATAAAGCAATTGATGAACCTCTTGAACCACTGCAAATGAGCAATAAGGAAGCTGATTTATACTGGATCAGATTTTTGCCTCTTATGGTCAAGCAAATGAGATTTCCACAGTTGTCTTCCCTAGCTCAGGTGCCTCACTGTCTTCAGCTGTTTGTTTTACTTTAATCTAATCACTATTTTCCCCCTTGTTTTGTTTGCCCTATAAAGCAATTGATGAACCTCTTGAACCACTGCAAATGAGCAATAAGGAAGCTGATTTATACTGGATCAGATTATTGGCCTGCCTCTTGAACCACTGCAAATGAGCAATAAGCTGATTTATACTAGATCAGCTGTTCCTGTTCATTCTTTCATTCATATTTTTGGTTGGGGCTTATTTCCTGTTTTATGCTTGTTTAGGCCATTGGAACATTGTCTTACACTGATCCAGTACATTGTTCCACTGGTGATATTAGCAGTCTTCCAAGGTTTCAAACAGGGATCTTTCCCAGTCCTACTTGGAGATCCTGGTCCTTAACCAAGGGTCATCTGAACAGAAATTCAGCACTCTAGTAACAACCTGTGTTAAATTAATTAAGCTTTGGGCTAAATTTTGAACCATGACCCCTCTCAAATAGTATATGGCCTCCGATTCCTATGTGTGAGGAATTGTGATGGATAGGGCAACTTCTGGAAATGCCCACAGGCTTGCACACACATACCCCTGCCTGTACCTTGGAGGGCTGCAGCTCTTTAAAAAGGCTTATTTTCATTGAAAAAGCTCCCACATGCTCTCAAGTGGCTCTCCAGATTTTTTTAAATGACAAAATATTTGGGAATGGTCTTGGGGTCAGGGAAACTGGGACCCCACCAAACATGGTAGAATTGCCTATCAGACCTCCTGGAATGCTCAAGGGGAGGTTTCTGAGCCAACAAGCTTTTAAAAATGTCAGGGTGTGTGGGCACCTTCTGGCCATGTGCAGGCTGCTGGCCACCCTTTCCCCATCCTTTTATTAGGTATACTGTATAATAGTCCGTATCAGAACATTTATATGCTCTTAATAATTTGGCCTGTTTCATTCTCCTTTAGATTTTGGATAATGTTTGTTGTCTAATTTGAACTACTTTGCCTTGTAGGTGGCTGCTGAAGAATACAACAGACTGAAGGATATCAAAGCAGTAAGTAGCTTAGATGTTGCTTGAGACATCTAAGTATAAACAAATATTTTTCCTGTTTTTCAAGGGTGTGCAATGTAATCCACCCTGAAAACTGCACAGCTTGATTGTTTCTGGCTTCCAGTGTCTGACTTTCCCCCTTCTCTTTTAAAAAAACATGTTTACTGTTTATTTAACTTTAAACCTTAACTTTATCATTATATCCATAGTTCAGCCTTGTTAGATACACAAGAATAAAATAAAAGCAGAGTAAATAGAACTTTATTTATTTATTCGATTTTTATACCGCCCATCTAGCAAATTGCTACTCTGGGCAGTGTACAGCAGAAATAAAAGCACAGTTTATATATGACAAATTATAATACATTAAGCCTCCTCTCCAAGACAGACAGGTAGCAAACCACCACTCCTGCCCTAATCAGTGTACAAAGCATCCTTTCTTCCTCCTCTAATTCAATTAGTTGAGAAGAGCCTCCCCAAAAGCTTCCTTCAAAAGCTCTTTTTAAAAAAGGCACAGAGGGGGAAAGTGTCTGGCAAGTTCCTGTAGGAGCATCGCATTCCACAAAGAAGCCACTATAGCTGAGAAGGCCCAGCTTATGGTTGACGTTTTCCAGGCCTCTCGAGGTTATCATATTCTCAGGTCAAGGTCTGTGAAGATGTGGTCAGGTGGGCAGTTGAATGTGACAGAAGATCTCAAACCATTTAGGGCTTTATGTGATCAAACCAGCTGCTTAAACCTGGCACAGAAGCAGAGCAGTAACCAATGCAGACGAGCCAGAATTGGGGGTTATACAGTCAAATTTCTCCACCCTGACAATCAGTCTGGCTCCCATATTTTGGACCTCTTGAAGCTTCTGTATCTGCTTCAGGGGGAAGTCCCATATAGAGTGTGTTACAGTAGTCAATTTTTTGAGACTACCATTGCATGGACCAATAAGGGGAGCAGATGGGTGACTTGCCAAAGTTAGAAAAAAACAGCACATGTCACAGTGGAGACCTGATTTTACCTGGTCAGCACTGGATCTAAAATAGTGCCCAAGCTGTGCATCTGATCCATGAACAGAAGGGTAAATTTATCAGGTCTTGGGGAAATATCCCCCATGCAAGTTGATGGACCCCCAGCAACATGATCTCCATCTTGTCTGGATTCAGTCTCAGCCTTTTCTTCCTAGTCCAGTCCAGTCCTGCAGCCAGGAACCCCTCAAGGCACTGGATGGCAACCGTTGCAATTACAACCACATTTAATTACAATCAAATTGAAGCAACCTGACATTCAGGTTACAGTTGAGTTGAGAATTCCTAATCTACGTGTTTTTCTTTTCGGATTGTATAAATTTATTTAAGAGTTCACACTTCATAAAAGGCAGAAGGAATAAGCAGGAGTAGCTCATACTACTGCTCAGGCTGAATGGGCAACATTCAAGCCCCTCTTCAGCCTGACTCTGCTTTTCTTCTTTCCCTTTGAGCTGGAGGGAGATGGAGGGGGGGGTCTTGCTTGAGGTAGGCATTTCATATACCTGGCAAGCTCAGAGCCAACACATGCTTCTGCTTCTCCTTTGGCTTCAAGGTGCTGGAGGGCAGAACTGAAATTCTTCCCTAAATAGGGTTTCAGTCTCTCTTCCTGGGGTTGTTGCCACACACAAAAGGAAATGGTTTTTTGATGCTATGAATGTGCCTCCTGGCTGGGATCCAGTTATAGATGCATAGAAAGGACAGAAGAGAACCACACACACACTGCAAGTGTGTCAGTGATGTTTTGGTTGAGCAATTCCAGGGGGGGTGGGGCATCTGTTCTTCTGATGGCTCTGCAGTTTCTTTCTTTGAAAAGTACGGCATTGTGTGCCCTCCCCTGCATGTTCTTTTCATCAAAATGGGACTTGTGCATGTATATGACTTTGTGCACATCCTACATATTTATCATCTGGGAACTTTGCACACTAAAGTATTAGTCACTATGACAATCTAGTGTTTGTAACATTGGATGTAATTTATTTCCCTTGAATACTAACCTTACTTCATATTTTGCATTCAGTCAGGGGACTATAAGAACCGAAAAGCACACTGCAAGACGCTAAAGAGTAAATTATCGCACATCAAACAGATGGTCAGTGATTATGACAGACGGAAATTGTAACAAGAAGGAAGAAAATCAGTCTGTGTGTCTAAAGTTACTTCTCATGAAAGTGGTGTGTAATTGTGTTGGACCGGAGGTGACGAGAGAGCCTTTAAAATAAATTGTACTTCATCATTAGAACAGTTGTACCATTTTACTATGATATATGGACTTTGGTGCACAACATATATAGAGGGGTCTCTTGCAGTTTCTTTGAGTCAAGGAATTTCACCATTCTGTACATAATGTTTTCTTATTTTAATATGTAGTTGATGTCCTGTCCTTATGTCTCCCTCCTCTGTTGTGACTTGTGTTCCATTTTCTTCAGTATGCTGCAATGTTATTTTAAAATGTTATGCTTGTGTCTTCACACCTGAATCCACCCAGTCCATTCCTAAAGTGTTTTTTTAGCACATTCTGTCCTTTCCAATGTCATTCCTAATGTAGGCTGGTGTTGCCTTTCCTGTGCCATTCATAGTGTAGGCTGGGTGCTTTATCCGAAAGGATCACCTCCCTCCCATCCTTGTTTTCAAAATACAGGAAGCAATTTTCTCCAACTAGGCCAGCCACCTCTAAAGGTCAGAGAAATAGAAATTGCATTTTAATTGCATAAAATGTCTAAATGCAGCCAATGTGGGTTATCTACTACATGATATCATTAGTGACAATGTGAAACTGAATGTGAATATACTGTATCTTATTTTTGAGAATCTTAATTTGTATTTTAGATTACATTTTTGTTGTGTAAATGTAACATTGAGGAACAATATATTTTTGACCTGAATATCCTGTATTTATTGACTATGGATGTTCTTGTGAGTTTTGTCTAAAGGGGTAGGGGGCAGAGGAGTCAAAGCATGACCCTCCAATTGTTGTCAGACTGCAGTTTCTGCAGCACCATACAAAATATACATTGGTGATGAATTTTGGGCACTGCAGTCCAGCAGTTACAAGAAATGGGCCCCCCACTTTGCTCTAATCTGGGACAGTGACAAATCTGCACAAACTTATCAGAGCATAAGATAGTGGAGCTGCCTTATGGGTAAGGATGTACAGGATTCAGCTGAAGATGATTAACCATGGTCAATTTGATTTTTTATAATTTGCCAAAAAAAATCTAGACTAATCTGCAATAAAATAGATTTGCTGTGGCCAAAGAAAACTGAAACCAAAGTAGAGACAGATGTTTTTACAAAAAATGTTGATGCTTGTTTTAAATGACAATGTTTAACAAAAGCACAAAATCTACTAGGAAAAGAGCAATAGTGAAATCTAACCTTTGACTTTATTGCACTCCAATGCTTTATCAAGGCCAGGCCATACCACTCTTTGTAACATGAATTTATTGCTAATTAAATGGCCATCAATGCTGGAACTGACTGGGGCGGGGAGCATGTTCTTCTAAAGGATGCTGTTCAGCTGGTATGTGAGCCCTAGTAGATGCAGTCAATGGGTTAGAGCATTACTTATGTTTAAAGCAGACCTAGTAAAATTATTAATTGATTTCCAGGGGCCAAAATCCTGTTGCTATTTCCCATATATGGAAGTGAAATTTTGGCAGTTTCACAGCTTAATTGACAAGGTGCATAACTGGGCAAGTGACTTAGATGAAACTGGTTGCCCTGATTTCCCTTCTGTGCATGGGAAAAGGCCACCACACTTGGGTCAGCAAGGCTATTCTAAAGGTGACTTAGCCTGGATACAGTATCCTCTTTGTGAGAATTTTGGTAAAAGAACTTTCCTAAAAGTGAGATCAACAAGAACGGAAAATGTATTTTTATAAAATGTTGAACTGGAATGCAATAACTGTGTACATACAGGATGGCTTTTATTTTTTATGATACATCAATAAAATTATTTCAACATTTGTGTATTACTTTAGATTATTGTTTGGATTTATTTACATTTATCGCATGCTTCGCTGTTAAGTCTTGAGGAGCTACTAAAGTACATACACTTTTAGAGGGATAAAGTTAATGTATCATAGCAAAAACAAGCAAGTCTTCAGGCACTTGAAAGATCAAAAGGTACATTGTAATGAGCTTTTATTGACTAGAGTCTATTGTCATCAGATGCATCTGAAATGCAAATGTCAGGCTAGAGAAAATAACTAAATCACCTCCACACAAATGACTGGATTTGTTCAGAAATTATGAGCTGCTTTTAAAATACAGTAATATAAAATCCTAAGTATAACTCAACAAAGTACCTTATGGAGTTGGACTTTGGCATGTGGTATAGTCTCGACTATGAGGGAGGACCTGATTATGCACCTCCCATGTTAACAAAAGGCTGAGACATAAGAGTCAGCCTTGGATATGTAATAGTTGATCTTGGTGCCTGATCTATAGCCATGGTATTTAAACAGAGACATTTCTAGAAAGGATCAAGGAGGTTTGTGTAACCCCTCTATCTTCTGTGAACATAGGCAGAGAGTGACTGGAGAGATCCCTTTCTGGTGGGGCCACATGTTGAATGCCCTTTCAGGAAGATTCACCTGGTGTAATATTCATGGGCTTTTCTTCCCCAGCAGCAGAAAATGTCTTTCCTATGTGCCCCTTTTTTTCAGCATGCTAGCTAGCTAGATTTGACTTTTATTGTTCTCTTTCTATTTTTTATTCTTTTATTGCTGTACTGTGCTTTTGCATGGTGGTTGTTTATACAGTTTTTTATGATTTTGAGAAATGCCCTGAGAGCTTGTTTGTAGAAGCTTAGTACAGTATGTATAACTTGTAAATAAGAGCATTTTACATAAGCTTGGATGAGGGGCTTCAGAAGGCCTTACACTTGCTATTTATTCTTGATAAATAGTATCCTAAACAGATAGTAGGTAATATGCTAAAAAGCTAAAGAACATATTCTACTTTCATATATTTCTGTTAAGAACTCTGATAATTCTGAGATACGTACTCTCTGCTTTTTGATTTTACCTTTATAATGCTAAAAACTTTTTTAGGATGAAAGTAAAACATTCTGCTTCCTCTTTTTTATTCTTAAAAGTATATTTCTAATATCTTTTTATGCTGTTGTATTTTGGATTGAAAAATGATGCAATTTCTTGCCAGTAAATTTAATAGTTGCATGATAATTTAAACCTCTATATATTTTGAAATATTTTTGGAACATCTTAAGTATAGTGCCTGCAACTTAATTTTAGTCTTCATACATATTTTAAGCATTTGTACCTATAGCTTTTTTTCATTATTGTAAGAACTGACTTTTATGACTGAAGTAACATGCCTATAACTTCACAAATATTACATTTTCTGGAATATTTTTTAATGCATAGGGAACATAATGTTGCAGTTTTCAATTTCTGGTAGAATTCTCTATTTGCTACACAGTAGAAGTACAGAGATCCACAGAGGATAATAGCTATGAGTTACCCAATCCACCTCTTTCTGATTGAAAGGTAAAGTCTCAATAACTCTTAAGATATGAGATATCCATAGGAGAAATAATTTTAATTTTTTTAACAAGAAGTTCAACCACATGGGTAGAGGTACTTCTATACCCCCACAGATCCAGTCAAGTAATATTAAACTCTACACTTAATGGAGTCTTATACCCCACATCAGCTCTGTAAGTCTCCACCTACCCACCCTCCAGGATATGCGTGCAGGCAACCAAGATGGTTTTTGATACCCCTACAGTGTCTTCAGTTTCCAGTTTTTTCTGGCAAAACTGGCAAACTGCAGCTGCTGGAAGCCTTCAAGAGTGGTAGCTCATTTATCACAGGTCCCCACTCTACAACTGAACACCCCTGGGCCTCATTTTTCAAAAGAGGTAGTGGAATTCTAGCTGCATCTTGCTTGATTTTTTTTTGCAAATCCTAATGGGAGAGTCCCTATGCTTTCGATAGTTTTACTTCATTAATCTTAACATAAGGTAGAGCCCAAAGAGTGGAGCTGTGGATTTCTCCATGAAACGTCCTGCCCTGAATGTACAGTACCTGAGAGCAATGAAGGATCAAAGAAAGGAGACACTGGGGGTGTCATCCTTATGTTCCTCTACTTGCCTTTGGCCACAGGTCAGAAATGAGACAAAGGTTTATTCATATCACAAGCCATCTGCTTTCACTCATCATGACTAGCATTTCCTGCATGTACCGTCTACCATTCCAGCAGGGAAGAAGAAAATTAGAGCTAAATATTTTTCAGTTTTCCTAAGCAATGGGAAGCATTACAAGAAAAAACACACTGAAGGAAAATGTTTTCTCAGAAGTATTCAGTCAGTATCAGGAAAGGCCTATTAACACAGGCATCTATTCAAACGTGAAGTGAGATTTCAGCTCTCATTACTGTGATTACTTTGAGAAGCTCTGCACAGTGCATCTTTCTGTGAGGGGACTACTTGTCATTTTAAGGTGCAACCTCTAACTCTATAGCCCTTAAAGAACCAGAGAACAGTAGTGAAGAATCCTGAAGATAACAAGGATTAGAAACAAAATATTTTGTTTTGTGAAAAAAAAATATGACACAGAAGTAGATGTTTTTCTGGAACTCTCTTGCTTTCTTCATAATCCAGTGCATGTTAGCAATTTGGTCTCTAGTTCTTCTTCTTTTACTTAGTTACTTGTAATTACAGACTTGATTATACTGCTTTCTTTATTTGCACACATACTAGCGACCAACTGAACAGATCACCAACCAACAAAAGAACACTCATCAGAGAGATGGGTCTCTCTTTGAATTTCAAAAGCTGTAAGGAATGATTGGTTAGTGCTGGTTGGACAGTCAATCACCCTATTCCAGGGACGTCCCTTGCAGTCACTTGAAAGTACAGACAGCACGTGACGTTGTCAATAAAACCTAAATACATAAAAGCAATGTGGATAAATAAAGCTTGTAGAAATAGGCAAGCTGATTTTGCCTGGGATCAATTTTCGAGTAGAATGAATACAACAAGGATATCTAAAGGACTTATTTCACTATGAGGGAAGCATCTTCTGAAGAGGGGAACAACATTTAGACAATGAAACACCTTGAACTTTGATATGAATGATAAGATCATCTGATCTAGCACTAAAAATTCCATCCTTAAAACGAATAAATGTTAGCTGTGATGAACCAGACTCAAAACTACCAAAAATGTTGTAAAATTTTATAGTGCTCTGAGGTTATTATTTCGGTGTTGTACACTTGAACTTGACTTGGGGAACAAAGCTTAATAACAAATTCTGGAATATTTGAAGTATCTTCTGGACTGTTTAACCTCAAATGAAAGCATGTTTTTAAAAGAGACAAGATTAATTTGTGAAATAATAGGTCAAGAAATGAAAAGGTAGGTAGCTGCAAGTCATAGCCATGATTTATGCTAACATGAGCCTCTTTGTTCAAAAGGCAACTATCTAAATCCAGCTGCTAGCATCCTTTAGTATAAACTCATTGACTCAATATGATTTATATAAATGTTGACAACATTCAGCAATTGGTTCAAAGAGTCTTTTCTTGCTGGAGCTAGCAACTGGATGGAGGCCTGTGTATTTCTACCACTTGGAGAGAGAAAATAACGAGAGGAAGCATGTGGGCTTCCTGGCTGCATTCTTCTGGCCCTGCTAGAAATGGGATTGGTTGAATGAGGAAGCTCTTATGTAAGCAGCCTTGGGCATGTTTTATTGCTGGTTCCAGCCCATACAGTGCTCTGCCACCTGCCCAGAAAACTGAAACAAGGAACAGGTAAGTTTCTCCCTGGAGCTGTTGGAGAAACTGAGAACAGGCTCTTGCGTAAGAATGAAAAATCTATTAGAGAAGGATTATGTTAAACAACATGTTATTTTATGTCAGCAATGGTAGGTAACACTATAATGGTTGAATTTTGTATTTGGAAATAGTATGATTTCATTTACTTATTTTTACAAATTTATATTCTGTTAAAATTATCAGGATAGCTACCGATATTGATTGTAATAATAAATTTTGCATTATTACATATAACAAAAATAATTACAAATTTCAATGAGCAGTCAAATATTTGAACTCATAGTAGCCAAAATTAATATTAAGGATTAATATTAAGGAATAATACTGTTAAGAATATTCAGGGTAGGGATTAACGCAAGAAGCTGCTGGAAGGAGATGCTAAGGCACATCCAGTAAGACATAAATTGTCTCAATTACCTTTGAGAACAGCATGACCAAAATCACACTGTATATTTTGCCTAATACAAACATCAGCATCCACACAAAATTATTTCTGCCAGGCACTGGCACAAAGTTGTATGCAAGCAAAGTAAGTTTTTTTTTATTTGCTTTGGTGAAAGCTGCGAATATATCTGTATCAATGGGCCCAAATGAAATAGCTGCTGCTGTGCTAACAAAAACAAAAAACTGGAAATTAATAAAACTACAAATGTGTGTACAGCACTTCTGAATGATAAACTGACCTAAGATCTGTCACTTAGTATCTTTCAAGATATTATGCACCGTTGAAAAAAGTATTTGGCCAAGGGTATCAAGAAATTTGGAAAGCTTCCAGTTATTCAGTGGATTGTGTTTGTTGACTGTCTTTACCAACAGAGAAACTTCTAACATGGCAGTTGTTAACAAAATGTAAACAGTTGAGCTGCCCTACCCCATGGGAAAGATGTTTTAATAACAGGGAAAAAAGTAATGCAAATAGTCCTCACCCAGTTTCAAAAGAAGAAAACTGTGGGTGTGAACTCATGAACCAAACCCAAGATTTAATAATTCGAGTGATGCAAAAATATTTATGTTCTTTGCTGGGAGGAATAAGGTATCTCTCGAATCAACACTAAAGCTCATATCTGTGAAGATGCTCAGTCACCCAGGTGAGGTTATCTGAAAGTTGAGTCATGGCAACTGGACTTCTTCCTTATTAAGTTGAAACATTATGCTATTCATAATACATAAGAGCATGATAAATAGGAGACAGATTGCATCTAAGGCCTCCACCCCTGTTGAGTGAAGGGTTTCTATATGCACATGTATGGCCTCTCTGACCCCTCTCTCTCTCAAATCACCTATTTTCTCAGTTCAAAATTAGTACATCTTGGTCATCAAATTAGTGTCCTTTGTGTCCTTCAAATGAAGGAACACTGCTGGTTGTAGTCCTGAGCCATTGCCCCTTCTGTGCTGGGTCATTCTCCTGTTTAGTGGCTGTTTGACTTCTCCAATATAGAGTTCCGAACATTCCTCTTTGCATCGGACTGCAACTCTTCTTAGACTGAAGAAGCTACTTGGATGAACACTGAAACATTTCCACTTAATAAGGAAAAAGTCCAGTTGCCATGACTCAACTTCCAGACAGTATTAAAGCTATACAAATAAATTGTTAGGTGTTAATATTTTAAGCCCTTTTACTTACACCTACTTGTAGCAGAGGGATGTATAATTTTTGCAAATATGCATTATAAACACGTTGAGCAAATGTATAGTACAGCTATTATAAGGGTAGTAAAAAGTTCGATTTATCGCACATGCATCAAGTCTCAAGTATTAAATGGGACTGAACATTTAAATGGTTATAACTTTACAGGGATGTGTATGTGAGATAACTTGGTGTTATAATAAAGATGGGCCATTATAGGCAGCAGATTACACTTGCGAGTTCTTAATGAAAAAAACAATGCTTTGTTAAACTACAGTGAATACTGATATTAATGGAATTGTGTCAAAACAGTACTACTTATAGACAACTGATTCTGCAATTCTTCAAACTCTTTTCTGATCAACTCAGAAGAAGCAACTAAGAATGGAGAAATTTTTTTCTTCTGCAACACTTTTTAAAGAGTAGCACTTGAGATATCATTCCAATGACTCAGTGATACAACATGTAATTTAGTATGTGTGGAGTGTGTGTGAGAGAGAAATGTGACAGATGTCTAATCTAAAGAATCTCTTGAACATTTAGAAGCAGAAACCTTTTTGAAGCTGGCAGCCAAATTCCAGTGTGGAAGGGTCTTGTATTTTACATTCCAACAGTGTAAAAACAGACTCAAGAGGGACAGAAGTAATGGCACAGTAGGTTGGACCATAAGTATTTCTTAAGTTTGGCCATAATTCCACCATATAAAGCAGAACATAACGCATAACTAAATTTTATGTGTGCCTACTAAGAGTTAAGCACCAATGCGACAGCAAAAGTGTGCTGCTTACACACCACCCCGTAGGGCTTAAAGTACAGTACTCTCTGAAAGGTTTGCAATTTAATTACACAGGTGACATAACCTGCCCCCCCTCCACAAACTGAGTACTCAGTTTACTGGCTTTAGAAGAACAGAAGATTGAATTTATTAAATTAAACAGTCGGAAAGTAATTATCATTAAGTGAAATGGTTCAAAAGGAGTGGGGGGCATTTTGTAAGAAAAAACACAAGCCATACACACTGATATAACTAATGATGTCTGGTAAGAAGGATACAGCATTGTATGTCAATTCTGTGTGAACATCAGATGTCAGGCCAGTCCTAGACATGGATATTCTGAAAGTACTGTTCAGACAATTCCTCTAAAATAACACTTTGTGGCTTCACTAGATATTTCAGCAAAACAACACTTACCTCTGTTTAGTTTCTTTCCGTATTTATTCATTTTCAGGAAGCTGAAGAAAATACAAGGCACAGGACATTCCAGAGTTATTCAATACTATGCCTTACTTATTGATTTGATTTATATCCCATCTTGAGGTCAATGCTGTGTCAAGATGGCTACCTAGTCAGTTTTGTACACTATGTTGAATATGACTGTATTTCCACTTAACAGTGGATATAAAAAGTTTACACACCCCTGTTAAAAT